ATTTATTTTCTTTTGGATATATACCCAGTAATGGAACTGCTAAGTCAAGTGGTAGGTCTGTTTACAGTTCTGTGAAAAATCGCCAAATTGCTTTCCACAGTGGCTGAAGCAATTTACATTACCATGTGGTCGTATCAGCCTATTTTCTACCTGTAAAATTTGGGGACTTCAACAGCCTTCTTTTATTTTGTATCCATCCTCTCTTTGTCCCTTTCAGAACCTCAGGCCCAGAGGGTGGAGCCAGGAGCCACAGAGGATTATTCACAGACCTTGAAACCTAATGGAGTTTACCCAGTTAAATTTTGAGGGAACTGAGATTCAGGGAGGTCACATTGCTATAAAAATAGAAAAATGAGTCTCACTATAAAATCAATATATTTTTTCCTTTATCTTACTGCTTTTTGGGTATGATGGGTTATATAGTATTTTTTTTTAATAAAAGGGAACGTATTAGTTCATTAGCAGAATAAAGTATTTTCTGGGTAATAGTATCTGAGAGGAAATTATGCTTTTAGGGAGAATATTGAATAATGATTAAAACATATTCAATAATGGTTTGATATAAGATACAGAAAATTTATTCATTTCTTAAGATTTCAACTTTAATAAATTATGACATTAATATGTGTCTAAATGAAGATCTTTATACTAAGCAGATGAGAAGTATAAATATAGCTTTTGGGTTAGATAAGTCTATATAAGACAGATCTAGGAGACCCAAAGGGACATATTTGTAATGTCCATTAAAAAATGCCAAGATATACTGCCCAAAGCAATCTACAGTCAATGTTATTCCTATCAAGCTATCAATTTCATTTTTCATGGAACTAGAAAAAACTATTCTAAAATTCATATGGAACCAAAAAAGAGCCCAAATAGCCAAAACAGTCCTAAACAAAAAGAGTAAAGCCAGAAACCGTACATTACCAAAGTATACTATAAAGCCATAGTAACCAAAACAGCAAGTACTGGTACAAAAACAGACTCAGAGACCAATGGAACTGAATAGAGCACTCAGAAATAATGCTGCACACCTGCAGCCATGTGAGCTTCAAGAAAGTCGACAAAAACAAGCAATTTGGAAAAGAGGTCCTGATCAATAAATGGTGCTGGGATAGCTGGCTACCCATATGCAGAAGAATGAAACTAGACCCCTATTTTTCACTAGATATATAAATTAACTGGATGGATTGAAGATTTCAATGTAAGACCTCAAACTATAAGAATCCTAGAAGAAAACCTAGGAAACACCATTCTGGACACTGGCCTTGGGAAAGAATTTATGACTAAGTCCTCAAAAGCAATGACATCAACAACAAAAAAATTGACAAGTGGGATCTAATTAAACTAAAGAGCTTCTGCACAGCAAAAGAAACTATCAACAGAGTAAAACGACAACTTACAGAATGGAATAAGATATTAGCAAATACAAATCCTACAAAAGTCTAATATCCAGAATCAGTAAGGAACTTAAACAATTGCACAAGCAAAAAACAAACAACTCCATTTAAAAATGGACAAAAAACATGAACAGACACTTCTCAAAAGACACACAAGCAGCCAACAAACATTTGAAAAAATGCTCAACATTATCAGAGAAATGCAAATCAAAACCACAATGAAATACCATATCACACCAGTCAGAATGGCTATTACTGAAAAGTCAAAAAAAAAGATACTGGTGAGATTTTGAAGAAAAGATAACACTTATACACTGTTGGAGGGAATGTAATTTAGTTTAGCCACTGTGGAAAGCAGTTTGGAGATTTTTCAAATAACTCAAACCAGATGTAGCATTTGAGCCAGCAATCCCATTACTGGGTATATATCCAAAAGAAAATAAATTTTTCTACCCAAAAGATGCATGCACACATTAAATGCAGTACTATTCATAATAGTAAAGACATGGAATCAACCTTGGTGCCCACCAATGCTGGATTGGATAAATAAAATGTGATATATACACACTATAGAATACGACGCATCCACAAAAAAGAATGAAATCATATCCTTTGCAGCAACATGGATGCAGCTAGAGGGCATTATCCTAAACAAATTAACACGGGAACAGAAAACCAAGTACCACATGTTCTCATTTATAAGTGGGAGATAAACATTGGGTACTCATGGACATAAAGATGGCAACAACAGAAACTGTGGATTACTAGAGCAGGGAGAGAGTGAGGGGGACAAGGCCTGAAAAACTATTAAGTAGTATGCTCAGTACTGTGATGACAGGATCAATCATACCTCAAAACTCAGCATCATGCAATATACTCAGGTAAGAAACCTGCACATGTACACCCTGAATTTAAAATTAAAGTTGAAATTATTTTTAAAAATCGTAAGTTTAAAAAATATAAATAAATAAAAATAGCCAGAAATTTTATGAAGAATGCCTAACATTATATCTGATTATTCCACAATATCAATAACAGCTTCTATGGTCCGCAGTAGCTTTCCAGGTAATGTTTTTGTTTGTTTGTTGATTGGTTGGTGTTTTTTATTTTCTCCTAGTTACTCTGTTTCATTAGTTCAATATAGTTTTAATCTTTGATTTTTTTTGCCATTGTCAAAATTTAACTTCTGTTATGCACTTATACATTAAAGTATGGTTAATATCCAAGTACTAAATTCAAATATCATGTGCAAGTTCTCTTTAGATTTATTTAAGAAATTGTTAGCCAGGCACAATGGATCATGTTTCTATAATCTGGGCACTTCAAGAGGCAAAAGTGGGAGGATCACTCAAGCCCAGGAAGTCAAGGCTGCAGTAAACTGTGATTGTACCACTGCACTCCAGCCTGGGTGACAGGGTGAGATCCCATCTTAAAAAAAGAAAAAAAAATGGCCGGGCGCGGTGGCTCAAGCCTGTAATCCCAGCACTTTGGGAGGCCGAGACGGGCGGATCACGAGGTCAGGAGATCGAGACCATCCTGGCTAACACGGTGAAACCTCGTCTCTACCAAAAAATAGAAAAAACTAGCCAGGCGAGGTGGCGGGCGCCTGTAGTCCCAGCTACTCGGGAGGCTGAGGCAGGAGAATGGCGTGAACCCGGAGGCGGAGCTTGCAGTGAGCTGAGATCCGGCCACTGCACTCCAGCCTGGGCGACAGAGCAAGACTCCGTCTCAAAAAAAAAAAAAAAAAAAAAAA